TGCTGGGCGAGGAAACGCTGCCGAAGGAAGGCGGGCCAGAATAGAGAGGCAAGGTTGGAGGCGTTGAGCATGACGAGCAGGACGGTCATCACGCGAGTCGCCCACCAGGTGCTGAGGACGGGTAGGGTGGAGGGCGGGATTGAGGCGCAGCGGAGGGCGGAGGTCGCATGAATGGTAAGGATGTGGGAGACGAGGAGGAGTGCGTGGGGGAGAAGCCGGGCGGGGAAAAGCACGACTGTCTCGGTGACCCTTGCCAGGCCCAGGGGGGGCGCTCTCTCCGAGGCGAACATCCGCGTCAGGTCGTGCACTGACTCGACCAGAAGATGGGCGGCGGGGATGCCGACGAGCAGATCGGCGTTGATAGGGACGCCTTTGCAAATGGCGGTGATGGAGAGCACCAGGGTGGTGGCGCCTTGGAGGGCGTAGGGGATCCCCCGCGTGTAGCGGTAGGGCGGGGAGGTGTAGAGGCGCTTCCAGGTCTTGTCCCAGAGGTCGAAGAGGAGGAAGCCGCAGGTCATGGTCAGCTTCAGGATCGCCGAGGCTCCAAAGAGGGCTGCGAAACCCATGGCGAGGGCGTGCGCGATGCAGACCAGGCTGTTGGAGAGGCGGGCGGTCTCCTTAGCCTTGAGGGGCCCGTCCCAGATGGGCGGGATGGCCACCACGTCCAGCAAGAAGCAGAAGCAGGCGTAGGCAACTAGGCCCGCCAAAACTACCCACAGTTCCTGCTTGTTCACAACGAGAGCCAGAAACAGGAGAGCCCAGAGAGCCACTAGCAAGGCTGTCCATCGATCCGTGCCCAAGGCCAGGCCCCGCAACCTGCTTACGAGGGCTTCCTCGCCCTCCACAGCTTGAGGGGTCGCCTCCCATCCTCTTGTAAACCCGTCACTTCCCCCTTCTTTTCTAGCATTCCCAACTGCCAATTTGCTGTGTACAGAACTCAGCGTCCCTTTTAAAACGGTTTTGATGTTCTCATCTTCGATGTCAGATCCCACGCTCCCTCCATGCGGCGGCGACGGCGACCGAGTATTTTTCGAGCTGCTGGTTCCAGGTAGTGGCCGCCGACGCCGCAAAAGGGCATCAAGGGCCATGATTCCTTCACCTGTGCGTTCTCTTTAAATTTGAGGGACACGATTTTGACGTCAATGATGCGGATGGATAGAAATGAAGGGCACGGGACCAAGGGATGACGTGCGTGAGCCGGCTCGATCAGTATGTCAGATGTCCCTCAAGTCAGAGAAAATGTATCGATCAGACGGCTGGCACAATTTGTTCAATGTACAAGCGTTCCCTTTAATGTTCTGAACCGTGATCGGATGGGTAATGGTTTTCCACGGGTCAATCTTCGTCCAGCCCGTCGATCTCTGTGACTTTCGCTCACTCCGCCAACGCACGTGGTGGAGGTTGCGTCGGGATTGCTCGAAAAATCAGTTGCGACAATGGCGTGCGCTACCATCTTTCGTCCATTCCTCAGTTTTCGAGACGGTCTAACGCGAGCCGACGGGACAAAATTGTCACGCCGGCGTGCTGGTAAATCACGAAGAAGCAGAGGCAGGTTGGACTCGTCATCGCCTTGCGGGGGTGGGACCGGGCCTCTCCTCCGGGTAGGTTGCCAGCCCCCCTTCCCAGGCCAGGGCCCGCGTTTTCTGGTGTGCGCTGAAAGGTCTTACACGAGACGCAACACATAATATAAAATAATTACAAAACCATTTATGTTTTACATTTTGTTGCTATGAGATCTTTCATCGTTGTCAGGAGCGCTTTATCTTTTCGTGCCTCCTTTCGGTCTGTTCTTGCTTGTGCCAGTACTCGACGTACCACTGGGACGCTTCGCAGCACCTCGGCCACTCGAGCTTCCGTTCTGTCCTCGTACACGTGGTTTTTTTACCGCATCTCTCAAATCTTTAATTTCTTCGTCATCATTTTCAGCACGCTCAGTAGTAGCTGTCGCCTGCGGGGCGCCCTGTGACGAAGGCCTTCTCGCATTGGAGCCTGTCGCTGCAATGGCCGTCTTATCATAAGGGGTTCCGAGACTGCTTTCGGTGCTTGATGCAAATTCTGAAACCATCATGACGGCATCCCCCTCCTCCTCATCGTCCTCCTCTTCCGTGTCCCTACCCTCTCCGTTCCTTACGTCCATTCTTCTCCCCAATGTCTTTGTTTTTCTCCCTAGCTCACGAGCTCCTGCTGGTTTGGTTTCCATGCTCGACCTATGTGAAGTTGGTGCAGTTTGGGCAGTCGATCCCGGACAAGCTGCTGTACGCACGTCGTTCACGCCTGTGCTTTCAGTCACCACCGAGTCTGTAAGCCCTGCGACAGCTCCTGTATCTGAGTTACGAGTTGCTGCCCCTGTCCATGAGAACTGCGTCTCCTGTGTCCCTTGAGTCAAGTTTTTGGTTCCTTGTTTCATTCGGTAGTCCTCTGCATCCAAAGCTGCCTGCTCCAATACACTCAACGTACGTGTCTCCTCCTCTTCATCGATAGGCGCCTTCTCCGATCCCTCTCGGACTTTGATGGGTGCGTGCAACTCTGCAAAATCAAGATGAGCTGTCTCGATATGCGATGTAGGTGCATCCGCCCCTCCTTCCACTTCTTTTTCTCCCCTTTCTCCTTCTGCGTCTCCCAGCGCTCCTCTCCGAACGTGCATGGAGGCAGTCCCACGCACGCATCGCAATCTTTCCGCCTTGGCTTGCGAGTCCGCCGCCTCCAAAGAAGTCTGTAAGAGAGAGTGCCAGTCGCCCACCTTCTCCATGGCTATCTCTGCCAACCGCGCAAGGCTGGTCGGGGCCAGTGCCAGCCCTCCAATCTTCTGCATGGCACACACCTCTCTGTGCACGTTGATTGAAAAAGTTATACGGCCCCCCATCACCAGCTCCTCGCGCTCCGTAGGGTCAATGACAGAGACGATAGGAGACGTGTTAAAGAGCACGAATGTGACGCAGATGGGAACGTGGTGGATGGGCAAGGCGGACGGCTCCTTCTCGAAGGAGTGGTGAACAACCACAGACGCGTGCCCCAGGCCTCCCCCCCCCCGAACACGACCTACACTGCTTTCACCGTCGTTTGCGCTGCTGTTGCTCCTCTCGTCTGAACCTCCAGTCAACACCGTTACTTCTGGGAGACGAAAATGCATCAACGCTGCGACTGTGGCCAAGCATGCCGCGTCCACAACATTCCCTGCGTCATCTAGGATTCGCACGTCGCAGCGCAAGGACCACACTTTACTGCCAGCGATAACACAAAGTGCCTCTGTGTCTAGTGCACGGCTTTGACGCAAGCACCGCTCAATGACACGGTCCACTTCCACTAATGTCGGATTAGTGCGTGCATTATCGATTCCAAGTGTTGCCATGGGAGAGTACTCGACATTCAAGTTCAAAAATCCTTCTGCAGGCCGATCAGGATAGGGCGGGGTAAGCTCGCTAGTAACCACAGTAAGCACGCGCGTCTTACCCAGCTGGATTTCGGCGGTTGCCTGGCCTTCAGCACGCGCGTAAGTAACACGCAGCTCACGGGTATCCGCAGGCGTCCGGCCATCGGCGCGACAATTTTCATCCTTTAGCGCCGTAAGAATGAATTCCCGCTCATTGATGCTCATGTCTTCACCTTGCTTTATGACTGACATGTTTGTGTGCTAGGACTCGAATGATATGATGGGGAATTTCAGAGCAAAGGTTCCTTCAACCGCTTGATGCTTGATGAGGTTGGCGGGAGGTCGGAGGATGAAGGAAGCCAGCAAGTGAGGAGTTTCGAATCGAAATGAGTTGTGGCCTGTATAAGGATACCAAGTCTGGATGAAATCGTTTTCAAATGACAGCATGAGTGTTTGATTAGATACACAAAGCGCATGTTTTGAATAATTGATAGTACCCAAGACCCGGTTTTCATCGCTCACTACTGTCGTGAACGTCTCACCTCACAATCGAAATTAAATTGCTTGCACACGCCCTGCAAGAGACCTGACAATCCCTCTATTCTTTGATCAAATATCTCATTGTACACTTAAAATTGTACACATTTCATATTAGCAGTTGAGATGGGAGCATGTCATTCGCACGTTACGAAAGGTGTGCTTTTAGCGCTGCGTAGATTGAAGTAACCTCGCACCCATCAGCCAAGCACTCGAGTTGTCTTCATTGTTTTCACAAGGCCTTGTACATGAATGTATCCCGTAAAAACTAAACTTTCGATGAAATTGTGCGATTCTAACCACCGGACCTTTCGTTCACCTGCATGGAAAGCACCCAAATGTTGTCCAAAGCAAGTCATAGGCGGTGACCACAGCTGTAATTTTTCTCAGCCTGGTAGCTAAAAATTTCGTCCTGATAGCTTGGAATTCGCTTTTAAAAAAACACTCTCCCTTACCACATCATATTCAAGAAGACTGTGCTGTTGGCACGATTTGGAAGCAGCATGCAGGATTGTGGGCCGTGGGACTTACCTCCTCTGTCTCCTTTTACTTGATACAGTTACGCTTTTATAAGCACGACGCAGTGTGCGTGCGTATAGCAGAAAAGCGTTTTATGCCATCCTTCTTTTGAACGAAGGCTGAAATTCATCTGAAAATTTGGTCAGGCATAGGGTGGAACGGAGTCTGTCCTTTTCTTTTTTTTTCCATTTAATGTGACGTTAATCATGCTCAAATGCCATTTCAGTAGATCTCTACCATTACTTTTTCTTATACTCTGTCTCATGATGTGTTTTGCTGTTTTGAATCAGCCATTCAAACGTCTCGTCATAAGCAGCCAACCGATCCTGGCAATCCACGATATCATCATTCAGGTCTGACCATGTCAAGTCGCGCTCCTTGTCCTCTTTCTCCTTGCTCCGAACTTCTGTCTCCAGGCTTTTGAGGCGCTCTAACATGCTATGCATTTGGTCCTCTGATTTTGCCATTTCCCATTTCTTAGCCCTATTCCACTTTGCTATCTTCCATGTAGCTCCTAAATATGTCTCGAATTTCCTCCCTAGTATCAAATTTTTTTCTAATAAGCACTTGATAGAGACTTTATAATTTGTCACCGTTCGAGCGAAGCTAAGTTTCGGCAGCTGTAGCTGGTACAGGCTCCGCGGATCTACGAGCTCTATTGAATTTCCAAGCTCTTTATTGTCAGTCTTCTCTTCTAAAGGTGCGTCCTTCACATGTTGCTTTTTTGCTCCCATTTGTGTCAGGAACAAGCGAAACCCTTCGTTATATTCAACGTCATTCTGTGTTCGATCTTCACCTTCTTCCAAGTTTTTCCGAATGACATGCTTTGACGTTGCATGCTCTTCTACCCAGCCATCCCCACATCTTCCTATCGATGCGTCCTTATCCTGCTGTAATTTTGCTTGAAAGTCCGCTTAATTGGGACAGGTTTCATGTTTTAACTTCCCCTGTGATATTACCCGTCCGTTGCCGACTACTTCAATTTTCTTACTTTAAATCTCTTCCAGATTCCTCCCTTTTTCGTCGAGAGTGTCAGGAAGACACTTAGTATTTATTCGGTCCTGCCCTAAGCGACCCACATGTTGCAAATGCTCGATCGCTTTCTGTCGAAGTTGCGCGAGCTTAACGAGGGAGCGCAGGCGAAATTGTTGATGGCGATGATGATCATACCTATGCGCGCGATTTTTTTGGTGTTGCTCATCCTCTTTTTGTCTGCTGATACTTGTACAGTCAGTACACACTGCTGATACTCGTACAGTTTTCCAGGTATCCCCCTCCAATTTTTTTTAGCTCGTATCAAATTTCATCCTCTTGTGTTGACGCTCTCTTCCTCCGCTCTCTCGACTTTGATATTCAAGAATCGCATACTTTCTCATCTCGAACTCTCTTCCGAATGCGTTCGTATCCTCTACCTCCTCGTCGTCATATGTATCTTGCAGTACCGCCCCGATAGCGTTGTACAGCAAAAGGTCTGTGATTTCGTATGTAATTTGCAGCTTCGTTTTGCTTCTCGCGCCGTTTGCCTCCTCTTCGTGGACAGCAACCACCCAAGGGATTACGCAGTCGTGCAAAAAACGTGTCCGTTGAAATTCGGCCACTTCTCGCCTTTTACTTGTCCTTCGACATTACCGTTCGTAATGAAACTTATCAACTTATCAGCGCTCATTTTGGCAAGGCCGCTTTGTCTCTTATCTTTCTCACCGTCTTCTGTAGTCGATAAATGTACAGAAAAGCCATCTTCTGGTACAGAAATAACAGCATTAGAAGGTGGCTGCAAAATACATGATAATGTCGCTGCACATGTCCCCGAACGCGTCAAAGAATTGCCATGATCATGTATTTTGCAGCCACCTTCTAATGCTGTTATTTCTGTACCAGAAGATGGCTGTTCTGTACATTTATCGACTACAGAAGACGGTGAGAAAGATAAGAGATAAAGCGGCCTTGCCAAAATGAGCGCTGATAAGTTGATAAGTTTCACTTGTTCCTTCGACATTACCGTTCGTAATGAAACTTGTCAACTTATCAGCGCTCATTTTGGCAAGGCCGCTTTGTCTCTTATCTTTCTCACCGTCTTCTGTAGTCGATAAATGTACAGAAAAGCCATCTTCTGGTACAGAAGTAACAGCATTAGAAGGTGGCTGCAAAATGAATGATAATGGCAATTCTTTGACGCGTTCGGGGAAGTGTGCAGCGACATTCCGGCTGTTGGCCTGTAAGGCTTGTTGCGCTCCTTCATAGACACGATGCCAGGCCAGGCAATGTGGATCAGGCTCAGGAGAGAAAAGATGGGGGAGCGAGTGAAGCATGAGATAGTGAAAAGTAGGGTTCACGAGATCATGTTCATCGTCACCGTCATTATTGAGAGTCGTAAGGTGCCCAGACGTGGGGAGGTTGGGAGCAATCACGGGTGTGTGAGGGGGCGTAGAATGGGTCGATGTTAGGGAAGAGCACATGCAGGAGGGGGGAGAAAAAGGAGAACAACGCCTTAAGGATTCGTCATCTGCTGTGGCCATGGTCAAGTCTAAAAGGAGTATTGCACGTATTTATATGGGTTGGAAAGTAAGCGTGAGCATTCTATGTCCTCAAAAAATGGGCGCAGCTTCCTCGCATAAAAAGACGACATTCAAAGAAGCAGGTGGTATAAAAGCGTGTCAAATCATGTGACAAGAGAGGAAAAGAGCGGCATCAAGCATCGATGGCAAAGGGGCCGGGCGGTGATGTGCAGGGAAGGCATGGAGGCACTGGGTGGTGGGGAAGGAAGCCGCCGACCTCGCTTCAACTTCGGGAACGTACACGTGCACATAGCCGGCTCAATTATGTCGTGGCCTCTGGGGGTCTTATTTTTCTGACTTGGTGCACCGCACCCATTATTTACGTGTGAAGGGTGCAATGTCCAGAGAATGAGAAAAATTTGGCATATGCCTATTCGGGACTCTTTGAGATCAGGGAGGAGCAACACTCGAAGGATAGTATACGAAGTAACACACAAATCAGCAAGGAGAAAAGAGAAAATATTTTTCTACCAGGCGTTTTCCACCACGTCTCTGGTTAACTATTGTGATAGTAAGGACGGTCAAATTCCATGACATCTCCTCTATTCCTATTTTGGACTAATTATTCTCATCTATACACAGAAAATCCATCATCCTGTCCTCCTGCACGATTTTTACCTTACACAATTTTGATTGTTTGTTCTCAACATTCTCGGGACATCTATGAGATCCTCAATTTATCTGTCATTCTCAATGCATACATAACGAAATGATTTTTCACATCCATCGAGGCTTCTAAAAAATAAACTTCACGAGGAGGAATCCAAGACAGGCATCCAGGATGTCTTACCTTGAGATGTAACCACCTGAAAGAGAAGAGCAAATGAGGCGTTAGTCCTCTCATTGTAAAAGCGCGCACTCTTGCATCCTTACCCGGATCAGGGATCCCGAAGCGGGCCGCTGAGATGCGTCTTCCACCCAGGTCACCAGCCTCTCCGCAATAATTTCCGGCTGTAATGGTAAGTAAGTGCCTATTAAGGACCATATTGAACATCCATGCGCTCGTTCACCATGTATTTTTCGCTCCCCTCTTCCAAAACCTACCCGTGTCCATTCTCCAAAATCAGCGTCGGGCATAACCATCCGATTTGCTGGAGTGTTAATCGTCGTAGGCAAGATAGACAGGGCCGTCAGGCCTGCCCTGACCACTTCCGGATCCACTGCAACAGTCCTCGTCAGAAAGTGAGTCGCACTCTTGCTCAAACCATATCCAACCATGCTCACGCATGCCTTAGGGTCAACAGCTGCTCCTGCTCCCGTCAATACCATCAAACCCCCGCTCTTAGTCCCTCCGTCGCCCACATCGCGCGTGGCATCGCCCATCCCGGCTTGACGCCCCACCGACGGATACTGCGGTCGAAGGTACAGGCCAGCCATGTGGGCTGCGAGGGCCGCACTCTGTACATTGCAGATCCACATGCGATTCATGCTCTCCAGAAAGCCGGGGTCGTGCACACCACCCCCTGACCACCCTCCTGCAACATGCAATACGGCCCGGCATGGCATTTCCGACCCACCCTCGTCCTTTAAACATGCCCGCACTTTTGCTAACGCCTGCATGGCCGTTTCAGGCCAAGTTATAGATCCAATTGTTGCCATTAAAGGGACCGAGTGTGTCGCACGTGGATTGGGGAAGAAATCAACGCTAATTATGCTACTGGCGCTACTGCCAGGGGAGGTTCTGAGGGAGTTGATTAAACTCTTTCCTAACGCACCAGCGCCGCCAACAACGATGATTGCCTGCTTAGCGGCTGTCATTGATTCTTATGACTTCTCAATAAGATAAAATCCTCCTTTCGTTTGTTAAACCTGTATGTGTTGTGCGGAGGCTCGTAAGAGGAGGTGGTCTATTGAAGGGAGAAAGAGCAAGCGTGACGTCGAGGTCCCATAGTGCAACCTGCAAGATCGATACGATCTTTATGTGTTTTGCTCATCGGAATGACCGCGTCAAAATCCTTCAAAGCGTGCGCCATCCGCTACATACAGTAAATTTATCGATCTCCGGTCCGGCGGCAGATACTTCCTCCTTGTCATCGTCTTTGCTCGGTTTCAAGCCTTCTCTCCCTAGGCAGGACTGACCATACGAGTAGCCATCTTAGCTCACATTCCATCACGTAATCACACGTTGCCATAGGGTCCCTGCGACGAGTCTGAGACTTATCATGCTCTACATAGGCTCTGTTCTACCGTCTTAGCGGCGGGATATCTCAATCGCTTTTCTTTTTTTTGGCGCGTGTGGTAATGCACAACGGGGCCAGCACTCTAGGCGGTGATGATGAAGACGATACCCGCACGTTTTTATACCACGAAAGACAAGAATCCTCCCTTTGCGGACAGCATGCCCTCAATGCCCTCTTAATTGGACCTTACTTTTCTCCCGCTGACCTGGCCGAGATCGCCGCTGAGCTCGATGCCAAAGAGGCGGAATTGATGTTGGCGGCGGGCGAGACGATAGACGCCATGAAATTCCTGGCGGAGGATAGCGGGAATGTTAATGCTAGGTATATGTTTGCATAAGA